TAAATATGATGGAACAGTTCGTAATTCTCTTGGTGACATTGTTCAATTTTGTTACGGCGAAGATGGAATGGATGCATGTTTTGTTGAACCACAGACTTTCGATACTTTACCAATGAATAATGCAGAATTCGATAATAAATACCTTATAGAACTCAAAGATGACGAAAAGAATAAAGAAAAAGAGGCAGGCCAACAAGATGACAACGATTTAGCTCAGCCTAAAAAACCTAAAACTCAGCAAGAAATAATTAGAGAAAAAATTGTTGAAGAATATATGCAATTAAAACGAGACCGCGAAGTGTTGCAACGAGACATTTTTACAAACGGTGATAATAAGTGGCCGTTACCAGTTAATATTAAACGTCTCATTAAAAATGCACAACAAAAGTTTAATATTAGACCTTCCCGCTGGACTACTACAGATTTGCAATACATTGATGTCATAAACAGTGTTGAAGAGGTTATGTCGAAACTGTTGGTAGTTAAAGGAAATGATCAGATTAGTCATGAAGCACAAACAAATGCCACTACGCTATTTAAAATATTATTGAGATCATGGTTAGCAAGTCGACGTGTAATTGAAGAATTCCATCTAAATTCTCAAGCACTGAAATGGGTTTTGGGTGAAGTCGAGTCGAGGTTCCGGAAATCTCTGGTCTCTCCTGGTGAAATGGTTGGAACAGTTGCCGCGCAATCTATTGGAGAACCTGCTACACAAATGACATTGAATACTTTCCATTACGCAGGTGTTGCGAGTAAAAACGTCACTCTCGGTGTCCCTCGTCTTAAAGAAATTATTAATGTTGCCAAAAACATAAAAACACCCTCTCTTCATGTATTTCTCATTGGTGAATATTCCAATTCAATGGAGGCTGCTAAAGAAATTCAAAGTGCAATAGAGTACACCACGTTAAAGACTGTAACACAACGTACGGAGATATGGTATGACCCTAGTCTTCATAGCTCTAATATTGAGGCCGATAAAGATTTCGTTGAACTTTATTATGAGATGGAAGAAAGTGAAGAATCAGAGGAAGGTGGTTACCAATCTCCATGGGTTTTACGTTTCGAACTCAATCATGGTGTGATGCTTGATAAGAAACTCCAAATGGATATGGTTGGACGTAAAATACAACAAAGTTTTAAGGATGATATTCACGCTATATGGAATGATGATAACTCTGAACTGAAAGTTATTCGTTGTCGAATTAAAATTGCACCCGGTATTGATAAAGAGAGTACAGATGACTCAGGGCACAAAATCGAGGAAGATGTGTTTTTAAAACGTGTCGAAAATAATATGTTGACAACTATTGGTCTTCGTGGTATCAAAGGAATTAGTCGTGTATATTTGACCGAAAGTAAAAAAACTCGCATTTACATCAATGACGCAGGTAAAATAGTCAAAGAAGACGAGACAATACTTGAAACTGATGGTACCAACTTGCAGGAAGTGCTAAACGTAGAACACGTTGATTACAAGCGCACTTATTCCAATAATTGTGTAGAAATTATGCAAGTTTTAGGCATTGAGGCAACACGAGCTGCGTTATTGAAAGAACTTCGTGACGTTATACAGTTTGATGGATCGTATGTCAATTATCGTCATTTGGCTCTTTTGTGTGATGTGATGACTTCTCGTGGTCATTTAATGGCGATTACCCGTCATGGAATAAACCGCGCTGAGACTGGTGCTTTGATGAGATGCTCTTTTGAGGAGACAGTGGAGATTTTAATGGAAGCTGCTGCTGCTGGGGAAGTTGATGATTGTAACGGGGTTGCGGAAAATATTATGTTAGGGCAGGTTGCACCTCTAGGGACTGGAGAATTTGATATATATCTTGATCAAGATATGCTGAAAACAACCGCTCCGGCTAGCGAAAGTGCAAAATCTGGAATTTTTGGTATGTCTGAACGACGTCCATTGGGCAGCATGACTCCTTCACATCCGCCTATGACACCTTATGCTCTTGGTAATCGAACTCCTTCGCATATGATGTCTCCTACGTATGGTAGTGGGTCACCGCAATATAACTATGTCCCTTCTTCACCGGCATTTTCACCGGTTCTTGAACCTGGAAGTACAAGGCCTATTACCGTTGGTGGAAGTTATCCGTGGTCAAGCCCATATGCTTCAGGAAGTCCAATTTATGGTCCTTCATCGCCTACTTATTCTCCAAGTTCGCCAGGAGCGCCTTTTGCTCATTCTCCTGCTCCTGCATTTACTCCGCAAAGTCCCGCATATAGTCCAACTAGTCCTCACTATTCGCCAACGAGCCCTCAACCTGGTGGTTGGACCATTGCAACAACACCAATCTATAATAATAGACAGGCGACAAGCCCTAGTTATTCCCCAAATTCCCCAAGCTATTCACCGACATCACCAAGCTATTCACCAACATCACCAAGCTATTCCCCTACCTCGCCCAATTATACACCTACTTCGCCGAGGTATTCACCCACTTCCCCAAGTTACTCACCAACGTCACCCAATTATTCACCGACCTCTCCACGATACTCACCAACGTCACCTAATTATACACCAACATCTCCAACATACTCTCCTACGTCTCCAACATACTCTCCAACATCACCTCATTACTCTCCAACATCACCATCTTACTCGTAAGTTTTATTTACTTTTCATTAATTAATTAATAGTCGTAAACTAACGATAATAACATGCATTTTATTAGTCCAACTTCTCCTGTATATACACCATCATCTCCAAGTACCACTGCTAATTACACTCCAACTGCAAGTTCATCATATAGTCCGGTCTCGTCAATCACTGCAGCTCCTGGTCTCAATGCGGCTACATATAGTCCGACAATTGGTTCTTCGTCAATAAATTCTGCTTCACCATCATCTCCTCGTTATAGGTTTGTATATATTGAGTTATTAGTTATCGATTAATGTCGATAAAAGATTTAATTATTAATTGTTTTCATATAGTCCTACATCGCCTGCATACTCTCCATGAACGAATATCTGCAATATGATTGGCTACTTCTAAATGCAATTTATAAATTATAAAATTGTTATGTAGCGAACAAATACATGTTAGCCAATAAAAATGCAAAGTTATGTGTATCTGTGTCTTGCTATTATAGAACAAGCATAATGTGGACTTTTAATGTTTGGCTGGTTTAATCTTTATATATTTTAAATTAGTGTGCGCATGTTTAGACGATAGTATGTACCGACTTTTTTTTAAAAAAAAAAGAAAAAAAAAAAAAATAGTAAATATGTAATTGTAACAGTTTTTTTTTTTGAATAATAATTTGTTTAATTATTATTAATTGGTTTTATTTTTGAGAAAAAGCTTAAATTATAAAACTGGTTATTTAGAGTTTGGCTTTTTTTTGCATAGTTGACTATTATTTTTAGAAACTCGGTTTTTTATATATCTGATATGTTTTTTTTTTTACAATGGCAATGTATAGGGTAAAAGATCTACTTTGACAATTTTTTAAAATTAGTATATATATAATAAAAAAATTTGGTACAAATCTTTTAAATCTGGGTATTTATTTGCAACAATGATATTATTATTGAATAAAATTACAAAATCTTTTGCCAATTTAATATATATATATTTTTTTTATAAGTGATCCTGCCTTTATTTATGTGAACTGCTATATAATTTATATACATTTATGAATTTAATATTTTATTTATTTATTTATTTTTTTTAATATATATATTTTTTATTTTTTTTAAATTTGGCAGTTCTGCCAATAATTTATTAGGCTTTGTAAAATTTTAATATATTGAATACAAAATTTTCAGATTGCTATTTTATCTAATATCTAACTTCTAAATATTAATTTTTTTTTTTTTTTTTATTCTCTGACAGTCTTGCTGGTGCTACAATACAAATATTTACATAGTAAAATCTGGCTTAAAAAAAAATAGAACCTATTTCTAATAAATGCCTTTTGTAATTACAAGCCCAACATCACCCGGCTACAAATACTGCACCCAGATATGACTTGTCATACTGATTTATATATGTGTCAAGAAACCTTGTCAGCCTATCAAAAACTAATCCCTTCAATCTTTTCTTCTTTACCGAGAGCACAAAAAAGTAAAATTCTGTATTACCAATACAGAAATAATATTAAGAAGCAAAAAGAAAACTAAAACTAAAAAAAAAACACATAAATAAAATGGGAATCAAAAAAGAAAATAAATAGAAAGACAAGGCAAAATAAAAAAAAGAAAAACAAAAAGAAAAGCCTCTACGGGCTGACTAATTTGCCTCTATCAAGAAGTGATTGTGGTTAAATAATAAAAATGATATAACTAATACAACTATAGTATATCTTGATTGTAAAATTTCACTTTATATAAAATCTTCTTTCCAACATATGACCAAATCTGGATATGAATTATAAGGAAGGTTTCGATCTTCTGTAGATAGTGCCGTGTTTACTGTTATGATTACCCCAAACATGTGGTTGCAATCCACCTGGTTGTCCTGATTTGGAAGGAGTAAACAATGCCGATCTTCTGATGAAGGTAAGCTGTTTTGCCCACTTTTTTCAAAAATTTTGTTAAAAGCACAAGTGAGTGATAGTAAAGAATATTGACCAAGTACTTTTCTTCAAAAAGAGTATATGTTTCTTCAAAAATAGTAATACAAGTAGGTCTAAGCGCACTGCTGCTCTTCTTTTTGGTAAGTGATAAACTCTAAACTTGTTAGCAAGTAGCGTATAAGAACTACTTTTAAATAACAAGTGCCATCTCTACAGTGAGTGATAAGCTCTGAAACTATTAGCAGATAGCATATAAAAACTATCTCTAAATAATAGCTACTGGTTTATAGTTTTTATCAGTCTTATGTCCTTCTTTTCTAACATAGTTTTACTATTTTTTATTAAAAGTTAGGTTTTAAAAAGTTGGTTCAAATGATCATTAGGAAGAGTTGACTCTTCTAAATATTAATTTACCTGGTTATTTAAAGAATACTTATATATAATCTGCTATAATAAGATTTTATTTTCTATTAATTAATATTGTTTTAGGCTAGTTAATATATTATTAAATAGTTTTTATAGCTTGTCAAGACTATCTATTCTTTTTTAAACCTTTTTTTATCTAAAACTAAACAAAATAGTTTGTTTCTTAGGGTTGAGATTTTGTAGTCTAATAGTTTAAACATCCAACCTTTTACAAATAGATTTTGGATTCAAGTTTTACTAAAAATAGTTTTTAGAAATATTTAAATATACTTATTATAAAAAGTTTAAGTAAAGTATTGGTTTAGAATAGAAATTTCAAAAAAAGATCTATTATAGAAAAATTGATATTATATATAGTAGTAATATCACAGAAAATCTTAATATAAAAAGATTGCATATATAAATCTTAATATAATATACAAAGTAGTCCAACAACCTTAAAGTAGTCTTGAGATCTTGGTTAGAAGAGTAATACAACTATATTCAAACTAAAAATAGTGAGAAAAGCAGTAAACACAAAAAGATCTATAATAAAAAATTAGTTTTACTAAATTAAAAACACCTTTGATATATATTATTTGCCTAATTAGAAAAGAATGAATTTCTATAAAAAGTTAGCTAAAACTTGAGATATATATAAAAATCTAAAACAGCTGGAAATACTGGGCTAGAAGTATAGCAATATATTGTAATATAAAAAGTTGGCCTTGCTAACTATACTACTTAACTTAACATGAAGAGGGTAAAGATATGTGTATACAAAAGATAAAACTTAAATAAAACTCAAAGAAGACTCAAATATAACTCAAAAGAGATAAACTCAAAGGATATAAACTCAGAAATAACTCAGAATATAGAATAAAAAATATAGGATATAGAAAGAATAACCTGAGAAAATACAATAAAAATAGAATAAAAACTCAAGAAAACCTTAAGAAAAACACTAAAATTACAATAAAAACCCAATAAAAAGAGTATATACATGATAGTGGGTATATGGTTAAAGGTATATTATTTATTTAATAGGGAAAAGGTTAGGAAAATACAAGTTTAGACCTGGCAGAACCTGGCAAAACTTATCTTGCCTTGGGCAAAAAGACAGGGTTTTTATATCTTTTAGAACTCTATATAAGAATGAATAATATTTTGTGCCAACAGGTCTGTATCTGTGCCAACGGGTCTGTGTCAATGGGTCTGTACCAACGGGTCTGTGTTAACGGGTCTGTACCAACGGGTCTGTACTAACAGGTCCGTATCACAAGGGTGACAGATTATTATTCGTTATCTTCTATAGTTATATATCTTTAAGCCTTAATAACTCGTTAACTATTAAACCGAATGACAAACGGTAAAAACTATGCTAAGGAAATCAATATCCAGGATTCTATTGGTGGAATCAGATTTGTACTACAATTAGAAGTTACACAGAGTTACTTAATAAAAATTTAAAACTACTAATATATTGCTAATATAACAATATAAAGACAATGTGTAAGCTATCAATATATTGAAAATAAAATCTTAAATTATCAATCTCAATAAAATAAAATTTGCATAGAATAATATTGTAAAAATAGAACTATTTTATATATATATAAAATAAACCACTACTAAAAATAGCAAATTTAGCTTGTCTCTAATAAATTAGTTAACTTTTATTTAATATATATAAGATAATAGAGTTTGGATTTCTTGTATTGTATAAGTATATATACAAATGTAAAATATAGGTTAAGGTTTGTCTTATTACTATTTTTATATAGTATTAATTAATATATATGTAAACTTGGTTTTTATTTGTACAAATATATATACTAGTATATATGCATATACTAACTGCTAATAAAAGTCTATTAATTTTTAATATTTAGAAATTTTCAGATTTTGACTTTTATAATACTATTTTTATAATAAATAATTTATATATAAAAGGTGCTTATTTACAAGAAGTGTTTATTTATAGCAGAATATAGTATATTTATTATTATTATAAAATCTTTAAAATTCAATAACTTTTAATTTACTTAATTAATTTAAATAATTTAACCACCAAAATAATTTTCTCTTTTAGACAATTCTAATAAATTCAAAATCACCTAATTCTAATTATGTGATTAAAAATGCTATCAAGTTTTATTTTCAAATTATCTATATTATTTTATTAAATTCTATATATTCTTTTTAATTTCTTTACAATACAGCATATATATTAACTATTATATTTATTATTATTATAAAATCTTTAGAATTTAATAACTTTTGATCTACTTAACCAATCTAGATGATTTAATTACTAAAATAATTCTTTCTTCAAGACAGTTCTAATAAATCTAAAATCACCTAACTTTGATTATATGTTCAAAACACTATTAAATATTTTAAATTATTTATATCATTTTATTAAATTTTCTGATTTTTTTATTATCTATATCTAAAACTAACTATAACTTAACAAAGATTTCTTATTATTAACTTTCTAGTAAAAATTTTAACTAGTTTTAAGCATTTCTAATTAATACAGAAGCTCAAAATCAAACCCAATTTTCAACCTTCCTTGAAATACAAGTTTTAAATTTTATTAATTCTTTTTTTTTTTTTTTTTTTTAAATTGCTTATACGCTTGTAAATTTTATTGATTAATTAAGATCTTAGAACTTAT